GTGAAGAGCAAAATTACATCTCCTCGCTACCCTGCCTTCCGAGCCGAGAGCCAAGCTGACCCACTGCGAGTTCCCTACCTCTGGAGAAGTCCAACAACTAGCAGCCTCTGCTCGTCTATCGAGGGCACTGCAAGCCCAGGCAGGTACTACAGCTGAGTGCCTTCACAGCACTATGTAAATACAGATGCAAATGAGCTCTGGCCCTCAGACTCCTGGCAAATTACAAACGCAGTCCCTGGTGTTAGGAGGTGTCTCCTGCCGCACACAACGGGTGCAAGCCTTCAGACCCTTCCCAAACAAAGATTCTCGCTGAAGGCAGAGACGAGTTTGCCTCCGCAAAGGACACAGAACCAGGACAAAACCAGTGTACCTGCTTTTCTAAGTGACCACTGCACACGGAAGGCTGCTAAATCCCAGAGGGCACTGACAGGTGACTGGCTTCCAAAAAAAGAGAGGAAACTCCACCTTAGGAAACCATTACTGCTTGTTGCAGACAAGGCTGTCAAGAATACAGGTAATGAAGGATTAGTACTGGAGGAGACAGAAAAGAAGTAATCTTAAAATAATTTTGTGCTTCTCTTTGTGCCCAAGCAAGGCAAAGGTAGTGGACACACACAAATGGTTACTTTCTCACACACCTGCAAAATCTCTTAGGAGAAATAAACAAACAGTTTGCAGGACAGCAGGGTAAAGTTGTATTCCGAAGGAGCTGGGATTTTTTTTCCCTGCACAAAGTAGTCGAACAAAATTAAGAGACCACCGCTTTTATCCACCACCCTCCTTACAGCAATAATATGTAAAATCCAAGTGTCCTTCTGAACCTAGCTTCTTTTTTTCTTTCCTGTGTAACTAAAAAACAAAGCCGTCTGTGCCTGTAACAACCATTTATAACGTCTTTAAAAATACATTTTAATGCCTTTGGCTTTCCATCATTATTTTGAGCAGCTTAAGTCAACTGGGAACAAGATTCGTGGTTCTCATGTTCTTGTGTTGTAAGAACACAACAAATCAAGTTCTCATAGCAGCAGTCTGCCCTACCAAAAGGGGTAGCCTTAATATAAAGGAGAAGAGAAACATTCCATATCCATAATTAGATAAATAATACTTCAGGCAAGATATGGCACCTTTAAAAGTGCCTTTTCAGTCTTAGCTTTTTCTCTGCTTGTTACTACAGAAACCATCTAGCAACCAGAATCTAAGACAGACTCCACCCAAAACAGAGAAAAACAATATAGACAGAGTAGGCTTTTCCTCCTCTTCCGCCCCCCCCCCCTTCCCCCGCCCCTTTTTTTGAAAGGGTGGGTGAGTGCTAAGGAAAAGTATCTTACTGTGCAAAGGACAGGAGCATTTTGCATGCAGTTGAAACAGTAAAGCTCTGATTACAGATGGCAGAAATGAAAGCAGGGAATGAGTAATGAGCAATGAGAAATGCGTAATGCGGGATGAGGATATTATTTCCACACATCGGCTAAAGAAAGGTTTACACTCTTAAGCAATAAAAACAAACCATTAAGCCAGACCTGCACTGTCAGGAAGTATAAAACAGTTCTTGAAACTCTGCAGTTACTATACAAAAGCTTTTCATAAACTTTTGTTTCCTGATCTTCATAAAACATTAACATCAAGCTGCCATATGGCAATTAGCTGCCTCCTGAAAACAATAAAAAAAAACCCCAAAATCAACAATTTAGGAATAGCTGTACAATAAAATAGTTCAATAATTATCCTCTTCTAATAGTGTAGCAAAGTGAGTCTAATATAAATGCAGTCCAGATGAGCTCCATCTTCGAAGCCGAGAGCACAATAAATCATGTTCCTCTCCCAGCCTCATCGGTACTGATTGCACAAGCGAGACCTCTAACTGCCTAGCAGGGGGCAAAGCAGGTGACAGCTTGTGGACACCCAAACCCAGTTATCATACGGGCAGGAAAGGTCTCAAGGCCTGATGATGATGAGCCCAGGAGAGCACAGCAGAGCAGATCCTGCTCGGTGAAAACGGCCCATGCTCTCGGGAGAGCTTACCTCAACTGAAGATCTTCCCACGTCATTTTTACATGTTGCTGACCACAGAAGTCCAACTGAATTTTGCGCAAAAATTATCAAGCCACTTGACAAAGCTGTTACTGAGCCTCAAAAGGACAAGGAGAGATGCTGATCACATTTGTGTTTAGAGAGATGCTTATCTGAAATGCACAAAGGGTGACATTATCTATCACAATCTCTGCCTATATAGATTATATAAGTGCCTAGAAGCAATATGTTTAGGGAAAACAGGCTATAGGGTAACAAAGGCAGCTTTGCCTTCCAGATCTTCTGCTTTTTCTCCTCTTAGGAGGGAAAAAAAAAATAATAATAATAAAAAAAAAAAGCTCATTTCTTCTTGTAGAGTACTATAGCGCTAGTAAGTACTAATGAACGAAAATAAGTACTGAAGCACTGTGGTAACAGCATACCTTTAGTATTTAGGATTATTTAGCAGTCATTACCAGGCTTACAAGATGTCAGAAAGCCCAGATCTTTCAAGAGGACTGTCTGATCATCAACCCTATTTAGCAGAGTTCAGGAACCCAACTGATCTCTAGGAGAACTTTCTACTACTGTGTATGAAAGTTTGTTTTGTTTCTCTTATTTTAAATCCTAAACAAACTCTTCAGTGGAGCACTCTCACATCTCCAGTCTAGAGAGAGAGGGTAAGGGTTAAAGATTGAAAGATACATTATGAAACCAATTCTGCGGAAATGTATGGATGTGCTGAGCTTGAAACTCGCATATCTCCTCCTCAAAAATCAGTATGGAGCTGATGATTCTGTGAGTAAGCAGGTATAGAAATGCTTACAAGAGTGGGTCTTAATAGGTTTACAATTATACATTGGCCTCGCAGTGTACTTTACTGTAAGGATGCAATTCTTTGTCAAGCAACAGGAGGTTTGCCTTTACAAGGAATGCGGCATCACGCCATGAGCCAGCTACTGCTCATGCATAGACAAGCGCCGTAGCCAATTTTTTTGAAACAAGATTAGCATCAACGTGTTCTCATGCCTTAGAGGAGAAGTAAAGCAGCCACCACTCTGTAAAAAGCCTCGCTCAATCTAGTTACACACGAAGGGCTAGGAGCTGTGAAACTTAAGCCTTGCAACGCTGGACTTTAGGATCTGGTAGGAAGTGCCATGGGGTCTTTACTGATATCGGCAGGTTTGGGATCATACCCTTCCTGCTCAGAGAAATGGTGTAATCTTCCAATTTTTCAGCACTTTATGACCAGTTTTTGCAAGCTCAGGTTATAGAGTACGCTAGCACCGCTGTGACTTGACCAGCGCAACCGTGCAGCGTAAACGATTCACGAGTTCTTGAAGAACCTTCACTGTGCCATATCCTGCGACTGACAATCTTCCTGAAGCAACGGCCATAAACTTCCCCCAGCACCAGGAAAGCTGGCGACATGCAAAAGGCAAACAAAACTTCTGCACATATGACACTCCCCCCACCACCACCTAAAAACATTAGCCAACAAAACAGCACCCGTCTTTTAAAAAGCAAATACAGGTTGTCCCCCCCAGCCAACTCGTAGGCTGCTACGTAGTATCAGCAGGACCAATAACGTCAGCTACCTCTCAAAAATAAGCAGAGCCAAACTGCAGAGCGGTGGATAGTTCTCTACTAGCTATTAAAATACTGCTGGTACAAAGAAAGATGTACGTTTTTAATCTCGCCACAGAAACTTGCAGCTAGCCTCAGATACTTTTACAGCTCACAAGGGAAAAATGCGAGCAGCCAACAGGAAATTAGTTTTTCTCTCCTACTCTCTGTACCCATTGCTTTTTGTGATGATTAGCAGCAGAGAACTGTTCTACAAGACGACCCGTAAGCCATCATCAAGTTAGCCTTTCTGATCAACAAACCTATTCAGTACCTTCGCTGTAACCCGGATGATTCTGCTAAAAAAGGGGTTTGGAAAGGGCCATGAGAAAAGAGGAGGTTTCTGTTAATTAAAACTCAGGCTAGTAGGAGGCCCAAGTTAGAGATTCCCAGAGTTGACTCAGAGAGCTCTGGAACGGGCCAGCTGTGCACGCGGCTTTAGCAAGTGCTGCCTCGGTTCACCCAATCCAGAAACGAACCCACGACGGAGCACGAGGGGGTTCTGACACCTCTGGAGGGATCAGCACAGAGTCGTCATATACCCGCTAACCACAGCGGCAAGCTCCTGAAGGAGGCAGGAACTTACCACGAGCAGTCTAACACAATTACCTTCTGGTCCCGGCTTCAGCGCACTTTGCAGCGGATCACCAAGAAGCCAATTTAAGCTACTTCCCTGCTCTACTATTTCAGCATAACTTTCACACGACAAGCAACCCGGCCTCGGCATGCTCGTCCCAGGTTCCACAGCTAGTAAACTGACTGCCATGCCAGTCTTTTAACGCACAACAGGCACGATAAGTATTAGCTTTACTGCTGCGTTGGCCAACTGCGAATCATGCTTCTGCCCCGACGTGAAGGATTTAAAAGGAGATGTAAGCACAAGTTATCCTTGTGATGACTGCACAAGTGAAACGTTTTTTCTTACAGACTGGACTTTTCAGAAAGAAATATGAGAGTTCTATGATTTATTATCTGAAATAGATTTAAACATTTGGGAAGAAAAATAATTAAAAAAAAAAAAAAACAAATAAAAAAAAACAAACCAAAACAAAAACAAATAAAAACAAACAAACAAACAAACAAAACAACTTTCAAACACAAAACCCTGGAAAGGAAGACAATCTAATCTGCAAAACATCAAAACCATCAGCTGAGATTAGATAGGAGGCTGCATTTGACAACAGCTTGCTGTACGTAGGGCAAAAATTGAAGATTAATTTCACTATAACACTCCACAGAAGTGAGCTCTCATCTGAGGTGAGGAAGTACGCAATGCTTTTCCAACTGTTAAAGACAAGGGCCGGTACAAGTAAGATAAATATTCCTCTTTAGCATACATAATCACAAATAAAAAAAAGGTGACATTTTAGTTTTTATTATTTTATATTTGGCCAGGACTTTTAAAGGAAGGACTTTTAAAGGAAACATCAAACATTCACTTTTCTGTAGGTCTAGAAAGGATTCAGTCTTCCCCCACCCCCACCTCCCATAGGATTTCTATTGGCCCTTCTTATATTCACGCTGCAAATTAGTTGGGAATAGCAGTATTTATACTAGATCAGCAACGTCTGGTTCTTATCCAAATGTTCCACCTAAAGAGGATGCCAGTTCTCATGGATTGGACAGCCCACCCTGCAGCATTCCTGAGAATTGTACAATATAATAATCTTGAAAGTCAGCAGAGTGGATTATCCACTTTTTTCTGGACTTGAACTTGTGACCTTAACAGTAGCACAGCAGAAAGCAAATGTGCTATGCACTTTGCCATAGTAACCTTCCATGTATTATTTTCAACTTAAATACACACAATTGAAACAGCTACAATCTTGGAAAATTATGTACAAACCCTATATTTTTTTCTTTTTGATTACATATAAATACAAATTAGCTATTCTTCTAAAAAGTGGTTATAATAGTAAATAAATACAAAATAAGAATCTGACCATTATACTTCATGTGCTGGGGTTAAACCCATATAAAATGTACAACTAAAATACATTTAAAATCTTTAAAGGAATATTTCTCTGATTAAAATATTTGTTTTCCCAACTTTTTCGTAGACATAAATATATTTTCAAAATAGTTGTGTTTTTTTTTCTTTCCATTTCATTACATAAATAAAGTCTTCATTGGGAAATATTAAAGTGTCAGCTTCTTTTTTTTTTTTTTTTTTTTTTTTTTTTTTGTATTTGTCTAATATATTTGCTGTGTTAACGGCACCCACAACCCTCCACAACCATATCTTGATAGTTCTTTAATACAACTTTTTCATTTTCATCAAGGTAGAGCATGGAAATAGCACTCAGTTCTGTCGGCACACAGCAAGCCTTGGGGATTTTGGAATTCACTGAATTGACCAAAGTCTGAACAATGGCATGGTTTGTGGAGTTTAGATGATCTGCCAGTGGAAAAGGACATTCCCCATGGCAGTAAAAGGCACTATACCCCGGCGGGGCAACAATCCAGTCATTCCACCCCACATCATTGAAGTCCACATATAACGGATGCCTTTTGCAACTGTATTTGTGGCGTTTACGCTGTTTGTGTTTCGCTTGACGCTTTTCTCTTTTATGAAGCGGGTGTCCCTTGCCATCATGCCCAAACGTTACTAATAATGGCCTGAGCTGAGACCAGCTATCTTCATCCTGATGTAAAGACCTGCTAATCCTAACGTGCCTCTTGGAGGCACTGTTCTCTTTGTCCAAGTGAACCACCTCTACCACAAACCCATGATTAGGTTGTCCATGTGCAATCCACCTCAAAACAGCTGGCGTTACATCAAAACTTTCCCATTTACTTGCATTATGATGCACCAACCTGGTGTCCAAAAGTCTTGAGACAGGGTCCTTAGAGGTGGCTGTGGCTGGCTTTATAATTTCATAAATATTAATACGGTGATGGTAGCTGCTGTTGTTCTCAAAGGCTCCGTGCACCTGTTTCCGAAAAATCTGGAGTTCAGCTGAGGTGACAGACTCCTCATTAGGGATGGAAGTTAAATTAAAGAAGAAACGCCGTGCTGTTTTCCCACTTGTTTCTGGCAGTTCTTCCAAAACTTCTAATTTGATTAAACAGGGAAAATAAAAAAAAAAAAAAAAAAGAAAAAAGAAAAAAAAAAAATCAGGAACTGAGACAAGCGAGACAAGCAACCCAACCCCTCAGATAGTCTACTTCCAAATGACAACTAAGGCATGTGACATACAAGATCTGAAAGACTTTGGGGCAGAAAATACCGTCCCCCCTTGTCTTTCTGTTTATTTATGCAAGCATGTATAGCATGAAGTTAAGAATGCTCCATTCCTTCTTAAGCATTTTGATTGAATACTGGTGTCCTTTGCATTCCAGGCGGTTATAAGTGGCGAGAAACACGGAGCATTACTTTGGAATTCAAGGACATTAGCAAGAAAACTCAAGCGCTATAGTTAGTGAGGGTCTGATGAGAATCATTAAAACAGGTTGAGGACTTTGGGTAACTATTACTTTTCCCCCTTTCCCCCCCCCCCCCCCCCCCCCCAAGAATGTGTCAATCCCTTAAACTCCATTCTCCTCAATTTAGGTGACTTACAGATCTTAACGTATGGATTTTTGTATCTTAATTAGAGATGGCAAACTCAACATCTCTAACGGCACTTTACGAAGCACGCCCCAGTATTTACCTAAAAGAGCCATAAAGAGCGGCAGGAGGGTTCAACTGCTAAAACGGGGTGGATGGTAAAGGGATAATGAAACAAAGTCGCTTCTGAACAACAGGTTTTCAAAACCACAAAAAAAAAAAAAAAAAATTAAAAAGTCACTAAACCCCAGGCCATTCTCACCTTTGAGTCAACAAATAATTGAATGGAGCGTCAGAGGAAGTAAAATCTATCTAGGGTTGCTAAGAAGTATGTTGTTGCTACAGACATCGAAGAAATTAGAAGTATTTGCCAAAACAAATCTCTCAAATTATGGGTTTTAATTTTGGCGCTAAGCACCCTGCAGAAACATTCACTTTCTGAGGGGAAGCCATAACTGCTGTTCGCAGTTCTTAGTCATGTAGCCGTTCCCCGTTGAACCCGGCGTGGCTTTTTGCACAAGGCAAGGCTCGGCTTTACGGTATTTCAGGACCAAACCAGTATTTGTAAGCATGCAGATGTTCTGAGCAGCGACAAGACAAACTTCTGCTTTCAAGAAGCCACTAACACAGAGGGAGAACTCGGGGCGGGGGGAAGTGGAGTCACATTGATTTTCTTCTAACTTCGGTGAAAATTATAGAATATATGTCCAAAAAAGCCTTTGCTGTAACAGTACGGCTACTTCACAGTGCGGATTTTTACATTTGCCTACAAATTTACAAACTCTGCCCTCTTGGCTGCTGCTCTCCTGTTCAGCCCCTTGCCTACCACACTCAGGTTTAACGTGAATGACCCACGCACTGCCTCGTCCCCCGTTCAACACGGCCAGGCGTTTACTTCCCACGTAGGGAGACCCAGGCGACGAGAGGTTACGTTTCATCAGTCATCTCCCCTTCTCACGATAAGGCTTTCCACTACACAGCACATCCACTTCTCCGGGGCCGCCCCCTTCATCCATCGGAAACATGAAATACTAGCGGGTTTCTTTCCTCCACAGCGCTTCACGTTAAAAGCACGGGGAAAACTGCATTTTCGCTACTTTTATAGCGGGGCCACTGCATGCCAAGCACCGGAGACTCGCAGCCAGGAACAATTACAACCTGGGGAAACGTTTCCCAAAGAGCACGCGAGCGACACGCGCGCCACCGGCTCCACGGGCCTACCCGTGCCGTGGCTAACGCCACCGAACCCGTTTCGGCTACGGAAGCCAAAAAACGCCCCCCCCCCACCCCCCCACCCCCGTTGCTCACCGAGGGCTCGTCCCTGGGCGGGCAGCAGGCCCGGGGGGGGGGTGGGGGGGTGCGTGGGGTGTGTGGAGGTGCTGCGGGCCGCCCTGCTCCGCTCCGTGCCGGGTTACCCCACGGGTGAGAGCCGATCGCTGGCCACAGGGCTTCTGCCAGCCCGGGAGCCTGGGGCACGGCTGAGCCGCTCCTCGACGGCGGGGCGAGGGAGCGCTTGAGGAGGCCACCGGCTGACTGTTCCGCTGATTTCTCCCCGGGGGGTTTGATGAGAAACCTCCGCGGCGGCCCCGGCGCGTTAGGGAAGAGTTCCCTGCCCTTCTCGCCTCGCCAAAGCCGAGCTCCCCGTGGGAACGCTCCGCTCCGGCGGGCTGAGCGGCCGCGGCCGGAGCCTCCCGCCCCGGGGGGAAGGGGAGGCCGGCAGAGCCGACACGGACGCCCGGGGGCTCCGGGGGCTCCGCCGGCCCCACAGCCCGCGTTACCGGCGGCCGGGCTCGGGCGCTCCCGGGGAGGAATCCGCCCCGCCGCCCCTCCTCCGGCCCTCCCCTTTCCCCGCCGCTCCCTCAGCCCGTCCCGCAGCCCGCGTGTCCCCCACCCCCCCCCCCCCCACCCCAAATTTTACCTTCGTGGTGGAAGCTGCGAACGGTGTTGGCGCGGCTGGCGGCCCTCTCCAGCGGGTAGCCCAGGGCCGGCGCTTGCCCCAGCTGCTGGCCCGCGTGCAGGCGGTAGAGGTCCAGCATGTAGGGGGGGATGACGACGTCCTTGCCGGGGCTGGGCCGCCGCTTCAGCCCGAACATGTGGAGCAGGCGCAGCTCGAACTCGCTGAGGAGATCCTCGGGGCGCTGCGCGGCCGAGGCGGCGCGGCCCGGCTCGCTGAAGCGCCGCCGGCCCACCTCCGGCATGAGGCCGGCCGCGCCGCCCAGCAGCACCCGGCAGAGCAGCAGCGCCAGGAGGGAGCGGGTCGCGGCAACCATGATCAACCTGCGCGGAGGAGGAGGAGGAGGAGGAGGAGGTGGAGGTGGTGGTGGAGGAGGCGACGGGAGCCAGTCAGCGCGGGCACCGCGCCGGGGGAGCGGGGTGGGGGGGGACACGCTCCGCAGGTGGGTCCCACCCCGGCGCGGCGGGGCGAGGCGCGGGCCATGGCGAGCGGCCCCCGCCGCGGCCCGGCCGGCTGCCGGCGGGGCGGGCGCGGAGGAGCGCACCCCCCACCACCACCGCGCACCACCCTCCGCGCACACACACACACACCACACCACCCCCCCCCAAACCCACCCACCCCCACCCCCGCGGGTGGGGGGGGGGGGGGGGGGGCCGTCGGGCCGCTTCAGGTGCTCGGCGGCGGAGCGAGGCACGAAAATCCCCCGTGGCAGGAGATCAAAGGGAGCGAGGCGGGACGGGACGGGACGGGGCGGGGGAGCGGAGCGGGGCGATCCGCAACAAAGGAGCGCGGAGGTGAAGGGGAGGAGGAGGAGGAGGAAGAGGAGGAGGGGGCGGCCGCTGTCAGCGCGGCGGGGGGCACCAGCCGGGACCGGGCGCTTGCCCTCGGAGGGGCGCAGGTGTGTGCCGGGCCGGGCCGGGCCGGGCCGCCCGCCGCCCCCGGGACCGGGACCGCTCCGCGGGCAAAGGGAAGGGGCGGCTGCCCAGCAAAGCGACCTCCCCGCCACCCTCCCGTCCCGACCCCCGTGCTCTTCCCCCCCCCCCCCCCCCCCCCCACACACACACACACACCCCCTTTCCCCTCCCCGAGCCGCCGGGGGCTGGGGGCGGCTGCGCCGGGGCAGCGCCTGCCCCCACCGGAGCGGAGCACGGGAGAGCTATTTTCCCCTCGGCGGAGTGGAAGAAGGGGAAGGAGGAAAACACAAATCCTGCTACGTCCTTAGCCAAACCCACAGGATGATATTCTCCCCCGTGAAACTCTGCGCTGGATTATTATTATTATTATTATTGTTACGATTAGTGTCCCGTCCCCCCTCTCTCTTCCAGAGCGCTAACACCTCCGCCGTGGCCCACGGAGTCATCCTGCGGAGAAGGCTTTCAGCGGGTCTGCGACCGCCGGAGTTATACCTGTGTGCAGCAGCAGGGGTTGTGTCTGCAGGAGGGTTTTCTGCTCTCGGGGTGTTTTTCCCGCATCACTTGGTGTTACTCCAGACTTCGCTGCTGCTCCTCTACAGCTGCCGCGCAGAAAATAGAAGTTCCCTGAAGTGCAGTCCGCCTCAGAAACATACTTTTAGCAGCCGGTGGAGGAGGCAGAAGGCAAGTCCCGGCCGGGGAAGGGCTTCTCCCTTTTAAAAGCGGCGAGCGAAAAATTGTTGCTTCTTCTTCTTCGCCTTCCTCCTCCTCGCGTGTGCGTGTGAACGGGTCCCTATGCGTCTACGGAGTTAAAAGGCTCCTTTTAAAAAGCGTCCCCTGCATCACCCGCACCGGACGGACGGACATTTACCGCGGCTCCCGCAGCAACATGAAGATGAAGCTTGACTTTTTTTCTCCGCTCCCTTAAAAAAAAAAAAAAAAAAAAAAAAAAAAAAAAGAAGAAAGGAGGGAGGAGAGAGAAGGAGGAAGGAAAAAAAAAAAAAAAAAAAAAAAAGGGTGGGGAGTAGCCGCCTGCCGCCGGCGGCCCCGCGTGGAGCGGCCGCGCTAGGGGACGGGGACGGCGCCGGTGTCCCCGCCGGCCCGCCCGCCGCCCGGCCCGCTCCGCACCATGGCCGGGGGGTGCCCGGTGGCCGCCGCCGGGGCTTTTTGTTGCTCGGGGATGTCACGACCCCGGAGGCTCGGGGGCCCGCGCCAATCACAGCCGCCCTGTGGGAGCGGGCTGCGGCCCCGCACGGCTTTTAAAGGAGACGCCGCCTCCCTCCTTCGGCTCTTCCCTCCCTCCTCCCTCGCCCGCTCCCCTCCCTCGCTCGCCCGCCCGGGTCGCGGCGCTGCCGGGGTGAGGGATGTGGGGCGGCCGCGGCCCGTTAAGCTCTGCTCGCCCTTCCCCGCCAGCCGGGGTGGGGAAGGGCCGCACCGGGCCGGTCCCGCGCCCCGCGCCCCGCACCGGGCGGCCGTGCCCCGCCGCCGGTCGGTGCGGGACCGGCCCGGCCCGGCCCGAACAAAGCCCCGTTGTCACCGGCACCGCCGCCGCAAATCGGATTAACGCCGTCGCCCCGAACCGCCGGGGCGGGGAGGTGCGAAGGTCACGTAAGGTACCGGGAGAATCCCCGGTGCTTTAAAACCAGTTTAAATCCCTCTATCTCTCCGTCTATCTAGCCACTTATTTAGGCTTCTACCCCCAGTGCGCGGGAACTTTCCTCGCCCTCCTCCCCGAAAGCCTCGGGAGGAGTCTCCTCCCGGAGGGCTGCTGCGGTACCTCCGACCGCGGGCTCAGCCCCGGCCGGGTTTGGGTTGGGTTTTTTTGTTGGGTGGATTTTTTTTTTTTATTTTTTTTTTTTTTTTTTCTCTAAGATGTGGCTGCCCTCCAGTGGTGGAAATGCGGCGGATCTCCGGCCCGGACACGGTAAATCCCATCGCAAACCACTCTCCGCCAGCCCACGGTCCCACGCCCTCCACCCGGCACCTGCCCCCGGGGCCGAATCAAGCTCCTGCCCACGCCGGAGCATCCCCCCGGGTCTGTGGGTGCCACGGGCCGGGCATCAACAGACGACTGCGTACGGGCCCAGGGGAGGAGGAAGGCAGAGGTGGCCGGGGTGAAGAAGGCAAGGCCACGCGCCGCGGGATTGGGCTCCCAGTCCGAGCTCCCTTCGCTGATGCTGGCAGATCTTTTAATCCCCGATACGATTTGGTGGCCGGTGGGGAGGGATGCAGCCTTTGCCCCGGCTCTTGTCCAGCTGGGCGCGGCGGTAGGGCCTGGCCCTTCTGGCGGAGGTATGCGGTACCCAGCAGTTTGGGGTCCCCATCAAAGCTGAAGCCATCAGCGCACCGTCGGTAGCCGGGGGCCCGGCACTAGCCCCGGCTCCTTCCCGGCAAGGTGAGCGCCCTGTGCTGCACATCTCTCGGGGGCTTCGTTTGCAAAAGACCCAGACAGCCTCTGACACCTCGAATTGCTGCGGAGGAGGATTTGAAGCAGTAACAACTGAGACAGCTCCATTACCAGCTCCTCCTTTGGGAGCGGCCTTTTCCCTCCGTTTTAGCACTTTTCAACGTAGGAAAACCACCGATTTGAGGCAGGAATTCAGCACATTTGGACCAGAATAATTCCTCCCGTGAACCCTCTCCTCTTGGCTTTACCATCACGTCAGAGTGACTTCAGCTATACCAGCGAGACATCGCTGTGGGATGAGCTGCTCACACAGGGAGTTACATACCAGTGTAACAAACCACCTTAGAACTGCACCAGCGTAATTAAAGAGCTGGTAAAGCTCCTTCATATCAACAGCTCCCAACACTTGTTAACCCGATTTTTTGCTCACTGCCGTGCATACAGCCGGAGAGGTGACACAGAGCGAGGTGAAATCCTTCAAAAGTTTAGTTACTTTTCCGTTGCATTCCAGCGCAGATAATGTTTAATTTTATGACTTCCTGCAAGTCTTTAGCCCGAACTGAGAGTGCGTGCAATGTGACTTCAGGGTATGCCAATTATGTAAATCAGCACTAAAATAACAATGGCAATGTAGTTTACACATCACTGACATTAAATGAGCACTTCAACTTCTAATTGCTGCTCCAGTTCAATCTGTAGTGGGTCATGCCAGGAAAAAGTCATTTCTTGCCTCAACACTTACTCCCTGTGCCCGGAGCATAGGCTGTACTGTATGCCCAGCTTCGTGTTATCTCTAGGAGCTTTCTATATTAGGAGGATGAGCCTTATAGCAGAGAAACGTGTTTGCGGTTGTTCTGAAGGCCTGCATATACTCTGATCTGATACCAAGAGGGTCTTGTCAGTTTGCCCCTCTCTGATTTTAAATATAAATAGGCTCTCGCAGCCTTCCGTTCTCTCAGCCATAAAACACATTTCCCCTTCTATTTTGCCATCTCTCGGTCTGTTTAGATCTGGAGCTGCCGAGGCAGTGCCTCTGCCTCCCCATCTGTTTCCACCAGGTCCCAAAAGAAAACACTGAAGCACCTATAACACGTTCCCTGAACGCACTGGCACCCACAGCAGAACCTCAGCCGCGAGCCAGCACTTTCCCCACACAGAGATCTCTCACCAAGGCAGATCCGGCTCCTTTTCAGCCAGAGCCCTGGTGAATAAGGCCCTCCAAGTATCATCCCTGAGGGTCCAGTTACAGCTGGTGCCTCACCAGCACAACAACCGACTAAATACCCCTCTCTGGAGCCCACTGCCTTTGAATATTGCATTCGCCCGTGGCATCTCTGGCATCAGCACACCTGAGGTCACAAGCTGAGGAGCATCTTTATCATGAGAGAGAACATTAGAGACAGGTACACTTCAGTATAAGGAGCGCAGCGCTTGGTCTGTGGAGCACAAACACCCCAGGACGTGCCCACCCAGCCTTCCAGCTCCCCAGATGAGCCTTTGCAGCAGCCAGAAGGGCCCTTGTCCCCTTCCCGCCCCGACAGCTGAGCAGCAGTGCACCTGAGACAAAGAAACGAAGCTCAACCGGCCGCATTTCCCAATGCTGCAATTCCTCACGAGCTCTGTGAGACCAAGGAGTCGAGCGGTACATCAGCTAAAGATCCAGCCCCACCGCGGTGGGCTCCCCCAGAGCCATGTCACTTTACAGAGTTACTCTTCGGATCAAGCCTGCTCTTTGGCTAAACTCCTGCCAGAGAGAGAAACCACCATTTACACTGAAAAAATCTGGTACAGAAGTGGGGGTTTAGGAAACCTGACTGTGCATATTCGTTAATCTCCTTTGTGAAACTTCATTTCCCTGCTCCTGAACTTTGTGTAGTTGACTGGACTGATTAATTTCTTTCTTCTTTTTTTCTTTTTTGTTGTTTGTTTGTTTCATTTTGTTGGTTTGGGTTGGTTGCTTGGTTTGGGTTTTTTCCTTCAGTTTAGTGGGGTTTTGGAGAGGTGTTGAGCCAGTAAATACTCAGCTAGCGGTACCTGCTGCTAAAGTTTCAGATCCAGGTGTTCCTTTCCAGGATGCAAACACAGCTGATAGATCTCAACTTCAGGTGTTGTTGGGTTTTCTCAGTAAAATGATAGAAAAGCATCCAAATAAGTAGTCTTACAACATGGTGAGAGTCCTTTTTTAAGACTAGAGGGGGAAAGAAGAAAATCTTTTTTCCCCCAGCATTTTCTTCTTACAGATATCATACCGAACCCCATTTATATACTGCCACCTCGTAGCCTCTGTTTTTTCCAACCTGGTTAAATTGCAACCATTGTTGTTGATGGCTACAGGCAGAAGACTTCAGCCGAAGACCTAGGTGAGAAATGTTCACTAGTGTCTCTGACCGTGACTTGTAATCCTTAACAAAATGACCTGATTTCTGGTCTAGTTAGAGACGCAGGCCTGCAGAAACACTTACATCACTCTATGCATTTTGATAGTCAACAGTTTTACTACTCACTTCAGCAGACCAGTTAGACCAATGCTGAGCACTTTTGAAAATTCCCACTTGAGATCGCTGTCCCCTGGATATGATAAGTGAGACGTGAAATAGTAGTAGTAGTGAGCTTTTTTACAGATTTTGCACATTTTAGTGAATAAACCTCTTGATAAAAATCTGTGCTGAAGTATGAAACGTATACATGGTACGACATCAAATGCTAGAGGGGCGACTTCCGAAAATGAGTTAAGATGTGTCAGTGATGTTGAGGTTTTGGCTTCATAACGGGTGGAGATTATCTGAAAGCTTTTCTGTTCCTGACCTGTGCTTCCTGTTGTCATCTGTGTGATGATGATGTGTGGCCATTCTTTAAAATATTACTTAATACTGTTTTCCGAAGACATATTTGTCTTTTGCTGGTTTGCCTTTTAACATCTATCAGTTGTCTCTGCTGCGCAGCCTGTCTCCTGTCCCATGAAGGATGGATTCTCACCCGAGAAGATCATTTACAAGATGATGATTTGTTTTTGAAGAGGGGAAAGGCAGTTTATTCGGAAATGTGTATTTCTTTCTTATTCACCTTGGCTGAAATCTGGCAGCTCTTCAAAGCTGTTGCTCTGTTTCACAGTGAGTCTCAATTTCACTCGTCAAACCTCAGCTTTCCTTCCATCGTAGTGGCAAGGAAACTGGAATTTATCAGGAAATACAATGCAGACCGAATATTTTCTACATTTCCAGTATGTTTCCATTACTAGTGAACAATAGCAGTCGCTCCTAACAACGTTACGTCTGCAAATACAGGCTGCGGTAATCGGTTCACGTGGCTGTGCAACTCCTACATTCTAAGAGAAATTCCTACAAGTTGTAATACAATTGCTGGAGAAAGAGGAAAAAGGGAGGCTAACACGATAATCACTTTTTTTACTGTTTTCTCCTTGATGGTACACACTTCCGAATTTCAAAATCCAGTTTTTGACCGGTGGCTTTTATCATTAAGAGGTGAATAAATGCCATAACGCCTCTGTACAGCCTGGAGAACAACTGAGACATCACCGGACAGATTCCTCAGCACCGCCACCGTTTATGTACGTTTAATTACGAATATTATGAATAGTCACAGGCTGTCGGGCTAGGGAGATTCAGTAGGCAGTGAACTGACCACAATTCAGGAGACCTCAGTTCTCTTCCCAGCGATAAAAGTGTCCTTCTTCTTCCCTTTGTGCTCCAGCTTTCCCACCTTGGAAATGGGGATGATCATGCTGACCCCCACTTGTAAGTCCCCGCAAGACCTTCAAGTAAAAGCACTAAGAGCTAGGCACTGTGATTGTTTGGGGCTAAATAGTAGGTTAATGCCAAGAGGATCTGCGAATACCTAGAATCCCAGGGCTCAATCTTGCCTTAAAGGCAGTGGCAAAATTCCCACTGGTTTCGGTGGTACAGGCTTGCATGATTAAGTGATGAAGAGACAGGGATGCTGACTATTCCAGTTGGAAGATTCTGAGCAAAGAGGGTTTTTTTAATTACCTGAGTCTTGTTAGGAAGACAATGAGGTAAGGGTGTTCCCCCACATAAAAGAGAAATGGCTGCGTCATAGATGGTCCACTTCAGGAGCTTATAATTTCATCACTGCAGAGATACTGACGTCAAGTAAAATGGAGGATAATATAAAGTTACGCATATTGCCTTAAGAAGTGCATATTTTAGCAGTGAAACTGGATAATGTTTTGCAATTAAAATAAAATAAAGGCAAGTGTGACGTCCTGTTTAAGCAGATTGTCTGTATGAAGGCTTTATTGTAGCTGCAGATTTAGGGCATATGAAAAGGTTTTCTGTACTCGGTTGCAGGATGAAAAACATTGCATCATCAGGCATTCTTGTTCTCTAACACTTCTTTGCCAGTATGCCTTTGACAATGAATGCTTGCAATTTTATTTTCTGGTGTAAAGTCATGTTTTCTCAGGTCATTATCATTCCAATTTTTAAATATCCTCTTAAAACTAGACAGAAATAAAGAAAGTAATAGTAAAGCTTTGTGCCCGCTCTGTGGCATGTGCTCGGCACCAGCGATCAGCTGCTGCACCTGCTTCACGCTGGGAGTAAAGCTATTTGCAAGTTGCTTTCAATTACGTCCCTTGTTCCCGGCTCTGCCCAGTTTCCAGAGAAGCCCTGACGGGCACAGGTCTCGGTTCAACCACCACCTTGTAACTTCATTCAGTAGCTGGTTCGCTTGCGTGCTACAAAATTTACTGACTGGGAGGGGTCTTAAGAGAACAGCATCCTTTGATGGTTCCCAGGCTCCTGCCTGCTCCAGCGTGGCAGCGCTCCCTCTGTGGCGTTACAGAAAGCGCGCTCCAAATCCCAGAAACTAATTACTAGCGGCACGCATTGAACTGTTCCAAGGTACCATTTATCCCCGGGGATATCTGTAGCCCCAAATTCATAGCACTGCTCCTGTATTCAGCCTCCCCATTCCTCTCCAAGGGGAGGAAGAACTGCCACCTCCATTTTACAGAAGGGGAAGAGGGGCAGAGAGCGGTTTTTCCTAAGATGTATACAGGGGCCCAAAGATCTATATAGGTCACACTGAGATTTTTCAACAATGCATAATCAGGTTAGACACAGTTTTGGGGTTAAAACCTCAAAACTTCAGTGAGACGCTAAGTACTCAGCTCATGTAGACATTCCTGAAAAGCCCAATACCAAACCTATTGCCCAACAGTTTCCTGATGAATTCCTGCAGGGCCTTGTCCACGGTTCTTACCGCAACCCAGAAATCCTAGCAGGAACATAATCATCTCATTCAGCTATGGAGAAAAGCTCTGATCTTGTAAGAGTCCAATCTGCACTGAAGAGAGAGGGGTTCTTACAACCTCGGCCAGGACGATAAAAATACCGGTCAGGGGATCAACACACCGATTTGTTCCCAAACGGGATCAGTCACCGCAGCAGAGGTGCGCTGTGAATTCCCTCGCCTGCTGTGCCATCACCTCCTCCCTTCTGCTTTTCTTCAGGCCCCGCTGCAGGACGGGTGCTGTACAGCCAATGTGCTTAGCACTTTGGGAAAGCCTGGGCCAACCTTTATATTCCTTAATACCTTTAACTACCTTCCCTCGCCACACCTTGGCTTCCTGCTTTCTTCTGAAATTTGCAATGACCTATCTACCTTTAGTTTACGTGCTTGTAAAACTAGGCACATCCTTCAGCCTGTTCAGGATTAGGATGAAAAAGTAGTACCATAAAACGTTCATGGTGTGCAGCATTGTGCATTCCATTATTCCCATCAATTCTGCATTCTCTAACTGAACTTACATAGCCTTGGCATTGTATTACTGTAGGAGATTTGCCCTTTCTTCTGTTTTCTGTTTTCTGCACAGTATTCATGTGTATAAACTCAGTAAACATTCACATCCACTTAACATGGGTATGCTAAACATTGAATACATTCCTTTAGTCAGCCATGGAATAAACTCCTTTCAAATAAATCAAAATACTAAACAAACAAACAAGCTGGGGAACCATGGAATAAACTCCATTTACTTTGCACTTTTGACCTTCTCACTTGCTTTCTACTCCCTTGTGTACATCCCCAGCCTCTGTGTAGAGCCCTAACAGCCACTGGGTTTTGAAAAAGAAAAAGGAACCGCCCCAAAATTTCTCATGCCCCTCTTTGCTTGCCAGAGAAGGCAGCCAGCACGTGAATCAGGGAAGAAGCAAGATCACTACAAGCCCAAAATTGCTACCACAAATAATTTTAAACAGACTGAATGGACTCTGTAAATCCTGGTTCAGATGCTCACACAGCCTAGGAAGAACCCCAAAGTCCTAAAAATTAAGTTTGTGAATAAGTCCTTGAAAAATCAGGGCCACTTTCTCCATAGCAGCGGAAAACTGAAATTCCAAGTTGCACAATCAAATGTGACATACATTTCTGCAGCTGGTGGGAAAATAGTTTCCTTACCAAATAAATTTAATAAAAAGTAGACTGGTTTAT